TTTTATTTTGGGTAGCCAGCAGTTCCGTGAGGGACTGCTGGCAGGTATTGTGTTTATTTCATTTAAATAAAGTTTTATTTTGATTGTCCGCCGGTTCCCGCCTCCTTCTTCCCTGAACATTGCTACACTGGTGCCGAAACCCGTGTCCGAGGGACCTCGCCGCTGTGGGGAATCCGCGGTGCCATCGAGCATGGTGCGCGAGTCGCCGCCGCGGACCGGAGCCTGCTGCCGTCCGCCGTAGAAGGGGAGGAGCAGGGAGCGGGGGACTCGCAGTCATGGACGCTCGAGGCGGGGCGCTGGGGTGAGTTGCCGTTGGGACGCCCGAGCTCGCCGCCGACCGCCTGGGAATGGAGGGGGGGCCCTTCCGGGAGGGAGAGGAGGAGTCACCGCCGCTTGCCGTGGGCCGGAGCCTACTGTCATCCGCCAGTGAATGGGAGGAGCAGGGAGCGGGGGACTCCTGCCGTCTGCCCAAGGCACCAGAGGAGCTGTCGCGGTCCACCGGGGGCGGGGCAGCGTCGAGGCGTCCACCGAGGGCCATCCAGCGTCGCCGCCGGGCACCGCGGAGGAGATCGCCCAGCTGGTGAGGGACAAGATGGCAGCGCGTTGTGGGAGCCGGACCAATTTTTTTCTTTCCTCTCTCCCCTCTCTCGTGTCCGTCGCTCCTCGTGCTTCCGTCTCCGTTTCCCTCGGCTCGTCGGTCCATATCCCCCAGGGATCGCCGCCGCCGGGGGGAGGGAGTAGGCACAGCCCGGGTGTACCCCCCGGCCTGTGAGGGGTGATGGGGGTATGTGGTGAGCAGGACGGCCGAGGGACGTGAGAGAACATCGCGAGGCCGGTGGTGCGATTGCTAATGAGCAGCACCTGTGAAGCTCACCGGTCTCGCATCTCTCACGGAGGAGCGGAAGCATAAAGGAGGAGCGACGGAGTGGATGAGAGAGAGGAACAGGCCTGCTTTTGTTTGTGTTTTGTTTTATTTTATTTTGGTAGCCAGCAGTCGTCCGTGAGGGGCTGCTGGCAGGTAGTTATATTTTATTTTGGGTAGCCAGCAGTTCCGTGAGGGACTGCTGGCAGGTATTGTGTTTATTTCATTTAAAAAAAGTTTTATTTTGATTGTCCGCCGGTTCCCGCCTCCTTCTTCCCTGAACATTGCTACAAAGTTGTTTCTCGTTAAAGAGGAAAATGCGGACTCCCGAGGAGCAAGCATCTATTCACACAGAATAAACAGAGGCATCGCCGTCGCCTCGCTCGAATAATATATTTTCTCACTTGGTCTCTTTGGAAAAACATTTTTGAGGAATTGTTTTCCGTTGTTTACTTTCCACTCCTCCTCTTTTTGCCTGATCTTTGTTTGAACATTGCACACTGGGGCGGCACGACTCGAAGAACACCACACTCAGATGACTGCTCCTCTCCGGCGAGTCCGCTCTCCCTCACAGCCAATTAGTGTTTTGCAATGTTCCTAGACAACCAATCAAATTATGCAAATTGCATGCATGCTGTGGTCGTGGGAGGCGCCTACACAGCCCACGTCCCAAATTTATTTTATTTTTTTATTTATTTATTAGTTTATTTATCAGGGACCATGCACAGTTCAAGCCCTGTACCAGAGTTAGCTATACGGCTAATTTACATCTGTGGTCCCCGGGCAAGGGAAAAAAAAGAAAAAAAGAAAAAGACAACATAAACACACAGTACTCACATAAAAAACAGAATACAAATATACAATATATAAAAGAGTCAATGATCACATATTTGATTCGCCTTCAGCCAAGTCTTTACGGACTTTTTAAAACCACTAAGGCTTGCACAATCTCTAATGTAATGTGGGATTAAGTTCCATTTTTCAACCACTGCAAATGAAAAAGCTGATTGTCCAAATTTAGTTTTCCTAAATTGAGTATAACAGTCACCTCTTACAGAAGCCCTGGTGACCCTTACATTATCTCTGCAAAAGGACACACATTGCTTGAGTGGGGGTGGTGCAAGATCATGTATCAATTTATACATCAGACACATATCAGCAAAGCTTAAAAAACTGTCAAAGGTTAATAAGTTGTATTTTTTTATAATGATACAATGGTGGTAGTTTCTCGGTTTTTTATCCAGAACTTTCACCGCTTGTTTGTAAAGGGAACATAAGGGTTTTATCGTAGTCCCACCCGCCTGTGACCAGCTTGTGGAGCAATAAGATAAATGTGAAAAGATCATCGTATGTAATAACAACTTAGCTGCAGCCATTGGTAACTGATGTCTTATATTTCTAAAATTTGCCAAATTAGCTCTGACACAATTGGATATTTTTTTAATGTGTTTTTTAAAACTTAGGTTAGAGTCAATAATTAATCCTAAATACTTAAAATGATCAACAATATGTATTGTCTCTCCCATGATACAGATATCAGGCTGATGTCGTACAACATTCTTCTTGACAGAGAAATACATACCCACTGTTTTGCTTACGTTAAGAGTAAGACAATTGAGAGTTAACCAGTCTGATACTTTGGTTAGAGCCGCAGTAAGTTTCACTGCGGCTTGTTCCCTAGATTTCGCATGGGTATAAATAACTGTATCATCTGCGTACATTTGGATGTGAACTTCCGGGCAAATCAATGGCAAATCATTAATATATAAGCTAAATAAAATTGGTCCTAAAATAGATCCCTGAGGGACTCCGATAGTGCAGTTAACAAAGGAGGAACATCTATCATTAATCCTAGTGCACTGCTTTCTTGAATCTAGATAAGATTCCATCCATGTCTGAGCATTGTGAGAAAAATTAAACTTTGACAGTTTGGATAACAGAACATTATGATTTACACTATCAAACGCCTTTTTAAAATCAAGGAAAACAGCCCCAACAACCCCTCCATTGTCAAGGCTAGATTTTATTTGCTCGACAAAATAACAAGTAGCTGTTTCTGTGGCATGATGTTTCCTAAATCCAAACTGCATAGGGTGCAGTGGAAAATGACCTTGATTTAAATAGGCTAGCAACTGGTCACAGACAATCCTTTCCATTACTTTGGAGACCACAGGAAGGATACTAATGGGTCTATAGTTAATTATATTAGTTGCATCTCCAGCCTTAAATATGGGGGTTATTACAGCTGATTTCCAGGCATTGGGAAAAAAACTTTGTTCAATAGATAGATTTACCAGATGAGCAATTGGAGTACAAAGGATACTTTTATACTTCTTCAAAAATACACAATCACAAGCAAAAGCATCTTTAGCCTTTGAGTTCTTTAACTTGCCTATGGTTTTAATTATTGAAGATTCTGGCACTTTAGAGATGCTAAACAGTGGCAGAGTATCATTTGCTGGTGTAATGACCCTCTCTCTTATACCAAATCCTTGTGCCAAATCCTGAACTGAATCTATAAAGTAGCTATTAAACATAGAAGAAATTTTATCTTTATCTGTAATTAAGGTTCCATGTACTTTTAATTCAAACTCTTTATTTCTTTTTCTGGTATTCTTTAACACTCTATTAATATTTTCCCAATTTTGCCTACTGTTACCTTTTGAATCATTTATAATATCAATAAAAAACTTTGCCTTTGCCTTTCTCAATTCATTTACAACCTTATTACGTAGCTGTTTAAAAGTTCTCCTATGATGAGCTAACCCTGACTTAATTACAATTTTCAATGCATAATCCCTCTGCTTCATCAAATTCCATATTTGTTCATTAAGCCAGGGCAGATTTTGCTTTTTTTTAGCATGTGTAACACTTTTTACTGAACTCATTTTTAACACTATTAACCTTAATCATTAAGCTCCTAGAAGCAACCTCTAAGTCTTGTGTAGAAAGGATCTCACTCCAGTTTAGTTGTTTCAACTGGTTTTCAAACTCATTAATAAACCTCTTTGGTATAATGTTTAAAACCTTATTACTTTCTTGCTGGTATAGGAACCTTTGTTTCGTTAATTTCCTTGATACCATTGTCAAATTATGATCCGATAACCCTGTTAAAAAATTAAATGTTTTAGTTATTCTTTCTGGTTTATTACTAAAAATAAGATCAAGCTGTGTCTGAGATGATGGAGTGATTCTGGTGGGACCTTGTATTAATTGTTTTAGGTCATATTGACTTGTTATATCTTTAAGTTTTTTCCTTTTTGACTTCTCAGTCCAGTTGATATTTAGGTCTCCAACCAAAATCAACTCTTTTTTCCTATCCTAAATGAAATGGCACAGTTCATTTGCACTTGCGGTCTTGTGGGCTTACAATGGCTTTCCCCCCCACTAATGATGCCCCTGCTACTGTACATGCCAACAAGTAAACAATGCAAATGTGAATCACTTTTACTGCTGTTAATCTTGTGTGACAAACAAATTACATTACGCCATCATCATAAAGTCAATGTTTATGAAGGAAAGCAAGCACACAATGAATAAACACAGACATACAGCTGCCACAAACATAGATACCATCAATGTACAGGAGTAATGCAATGCCATCTTTACAGATAAGCATCATTGTTTGTTTACATCAAGGCCATTTTGACAATAGTGGCGCCCATAGGCAATTGACATGTTGAGGCCAACAAAGACTATTTGTAATGAAATGACCTTGGGTTGGTTACATGCATATTTATGTTCATGCATTTGTCAGACACCTTTAGTCAAAGTTACTTGCATTTAGTCATTTAATGCATTCCCATCATGTTAGCACCAGGCTCTAGTGGTTGAGCTACATTTACAGTATAAAACCACTTGAGGCAGTACATTCAGGTGATTATATTATGATTGAGGGGGTTTAGACTATTTTCTTGGCCTGATGCTTAAGAATATCCCTTAATATTATAACAAGTTCTACAAAAAATATATTATATAAGAGGTTACATATATCAACTTTTATATTCCACAAAAGTAAGAAAGTCATACAGGTTTGGAAAGACATGAGAGTTAGTAAATGATTACAGAACATTAATTTTTAGGTGAAGTATCCCTTCATAAATTGGTTATTTCACAGTGGCATTGACTGTGGCTCGTAAGACTGAAACAGTGGCTTGAGTTTCAGCTGCTTTGCTCGTATGTGATATTGGTCGTGGGTTTGTTGATCACAGCCACTTTACCGATCCCCATGAGCTGGTCAGATTTAAACAGATCCATTAAGGCCTGCTTAAAGTCCCCCGACAACGTGTAGAGCAGCAGGTTGAAAATTATGTTAAGTACAGCGATCGGCCTCGAAATAATGTAGACGGCGTGAACGCCACGATCCAGAATGCAGTGGGTTTCCAAAGTGAGTTTCGTGTATATTCTCAGAGCTCGTAGCACGTGATAGGGAAGAAAGCAAACAATAAAGCAAGTCAATATCAACGCGATGAGTCGCCTTGCTTTAACCCGTGTCGTGCTTCCCATATGAGGACCCTTCTTTAGCTCTTTAATGATGCGCCAATAGCAAAGACAGACCACGACCAGAGGAAGCAAATATCCCAGGACGGTCAAAGCCCAACTATATGGCCAGATCATTTTTACGTTGTTGCTCGCAAAGTCCAAGCAGTATGTCTTATTGTCCGTTGTCACTGTCTCAAACATGTAAAAAATCGGACCTAACTCGCCTATTGTCACGACCCAAACCAAGACGCAAGCCAACACGCCCCATCGCTTCTGCTTGATGCTCTGCATGTGAAACGGATGCACAATCGCCACGTACCGGAAGATGGCCAGACAGGTGAGGAAGAGGATGCTGCCATAGAGGTTGAAGTGGAACATGAATCGCGCAAAGCGGCACATGGTGACCCCCAGCGTCCAGGTGTCGTCAAGGACGTAGTAGTAGACCAAGAAGGGCAAGCTGACCATAAAGAGAAGGTCAATGATGGCGAGGTTCACCATGATGATGGTGCTGCTCTTCCAGGGACGAACTTTGAGCACGTAGACCAGCAGAGCTATGATGTTTCCCACAACGCCCATGATGAAGATCGCACCGTATGCGGCGGGCAGGTAGTAGCGCTTAATGAGATGGTCCACTTCGGTGCAGTTGTCACTTGAGCTGTTACTCGAGCCGTAGTAAATTTTACTCGGCATAGTTGTTCTTGCAGAAGGAAAACATACAAAACATTGTTAAAGAGCGCACATCATGCAAAGTAGATGTCCTAAAATTGATAGCATTTCAGAGACTGTTCTTGTTCTCTACTTGGCATTGAATACCTCAGCAATGATAAACAGATGTGCATCTATCCAACGAGATGCCATGAAAGAAGAAAAGGATCCACACCAAGTAGGTGTCAGTGTCTGCGTTAAATTTAATAGTGTCAACCATATTTTTAAAAATAGAATGAAGTCATCAAAACAACCCTGATACAAAACTGTTTTGATGACTTCATTCTATCTTTAAACGTTATGGTTGACTCTATTAAAAGCAAAGCGGAAATTGACACCCACTCGGTTTTATTTCTCGAAACCAAAGTCTAATTAGAAACGGGTACTTTTTAGTTTATACATAGTTATTGAACAAATTGTAGGCTACATCTTCAAAGAGGAGGTAATGTTGAACTTAGACTTTTACAAAGGGATTGTAAATGGACTTTTGACTTGAAGTTAGTTAAGGCTTGAATGAGGAATTTCCCCTGAATTGTTTTCTGTAGGCCTAGTGTAAATATATATTTACAATGATGATAATGCCAAAGGTCATGTTAATTACTTTAAAATGTTATATAAGATAGGTTGTGTAATGGACTTAAATAATGTAAAAATATAAGCAACGCCCTTTGTATTAATATAACCTAAAAAAAATATATATGCATGTTTATATTAGTAGGAATGTCCTGTAATTTAAATAAAAGCAGTGTAGGCTATGTTTGGAAATGTATTTTACTGATAAAGGGTTGGAAACCCTGATAAACCCTGAAAACGTTTTGCTCTGTGCACTGCACCTTTTTACTTTTTGGTGGCCTTGATGGAATAACATTTATGTGAGATTGTGTGTGTGTGTGTGTGTGTGTGTGTGTGTGTGTGTGTGTGTGTGTGTGTGTGTGTGTGTGTGTGTGTGTGTGTGTGTGTGTGTCTGTGTGTGCGCGCGCGCGCGAGGATACTTTTCTTCTTTTATGGCATTGAATGTCTGACTTGAATTTCTAGGATTTCAGGCACGACTTTATTATTGTATGTAATTCCCCGCCTCACGCATGCGGGAGTCGAACTTGTTCAGACGGCAGCATCCAGTAGCCTACCGGGAGTTTTCCTGGCATTGTTTCTAAAAGTATTTTTCTTTGTGTGGTATTGCTGTGCGTTCATAACTACGTAAGTAGAGATATTTAATGTCAATGTAGATTTTTTTTCAGAGAGTGTCAGTGCGTGATTCAGTTTATTTTACCTCAGAAATATTATTGTGTCAATATAACTTAGTACGTAGCCTACAATCGGCGCAGTGTTCGACGAGTCATCCTGTTAGTTTGTCACGTCACCGATGTTTATTCATTTGGGAAAGGGAGTTTCTTGTCATATGTTGAATTAAATATTTATCCAATGTCTTATCGGCATATTAGTAATGTTACAAAGAGCGCATGGCAGTAATAGAGCAGTGCACACACTTTTGTAATCTGACACCTCTTGTTAGCGGAAGCGGAAGCTCGGTCTGTTTAATATGAGCATTTAGATTTAGAGCCCATATATTTCAATAAGCTCTGGTTTGCTGTTACTTCATACAACTTTAACTTCTCCGTGTACAGGTATTAGGCTATCTGTGTATATTCTGTCATGTCATATTTATATTTATCATCCTCACAGAATTGACAGAAACCACTTTTATGTGTAGGCTGGCTATGCACGCAAACCTGTCTACGACTTGCAATTTTATGGTCTAATAAATATTGAGAATGGACAAGTTCACTCTGGAGTAGCTGCAGTTCTTTCTAACCGAATAATTATAGTCCAGGCAAAATAAGATAGATCTTTAACAATGATGGATCAATCCGAGATGTGTGTTAGTAAGGCCAGACAACAATACAGCCCAATGGGGCTATTTTTTTCTTTACTCCTATCAAAATAAAACTTAATACAATGAAAGTATCCATGGAAAGTAAATTTTTTTGTATTACAAGTTTCTTTGAAAATTAATTGTAATATGCAAATGAGCTATACACTAATCGAATATAGCCTACCCAAATAGGCTTATTTTTTCCTTTACTCCTACCACAATAAAACTTTACATAGTAAAAGTATACATGAAAAGTAAAACTTTACAATACAACTTGTATTACAAGTTTCTTTGAAAATGAATTTGAATATGCAAATGAGCAATATACTAATCGAATATGCCCATTAGGGTGTGTCATGGGCATATTCGATTAGTGTAGGCCATTTGCATATTAAAATTCATTTTCAAAGAAACTTGTAATACAAAAAAAATCTGTGAAAAGTTTCATTTTGATAGGAGTAAAGGGAAAAAATAGCCCCATTGGGGTGTGTTGTTGTCTGGCTTTACTGGCACACATCTCGGATTGATGAGAATTTAACATAATTTCCTCAACTAGGATTTCTTAGGACTTTTAGTGTGTTGTTCTGGACACCTCATAGAAATGATCTAAGCTGCAAAAAAATATTTTACAATTAGTCTGTCGTAAAACGCTACTTTGCCTGGACTATTAAGCCAGTTGAGTTCCCACCATCCCACTGCGCGCAGAATATCCCACAATTATACGACCTGATTTCACACAATAACCTACAGTAAAGGCTGCTCAAACACCTAAAACACTGCATTCTGCATACAAACTCTGTTTAAACAGTACATTTCAACACTTGTGAAATTATAAGATATGGATCTGTTGTAGTCTCAATGTGAAGCTGAATTTTATTTGAATTATTTTCCATAATAGCTATAATATTAAAAATAAATAAATTACAATAATAACAATAAATAAAATTAAAATAATTTGCATGGACTGTCTGAACGCACTATTAACATAGTTATTAACTCTGAATATCTAATTGGTAAGTAATAGTGGATAGTCGAATGTGGTAGTTTACTATTAGCTCATCAATAACGACTTTTTTTTCCATACATCTCATAAAACTATTAAGAACTACTATATACAGGTTTATAATTAATTTGACAGTTTCACTTTATTTTGATGGTCCCTTTAACACATTCTGTTGACTATAAGTTACAACTACATCTAATAACTCTCAGAGTGTTAGTGGAGTATTCGTAGACTGGTTTGGGTTAGAATAAGTTGACATGTAGTTGCAAAGTTATAGTCAGTATAATGTCTGTTGAAGAGCATCACAATAAAGTGTTAGCAGACATTAAGCAGAAGGTCTACTAATACTCTAATGACTGATAGTTGACAAGTAGCCGCAAAGTTACTTATAGTCATCAAAATAAAGTGTTACCAATTTGACTAATGCAAATAGTTCTAAAGTGAAGATCATGGTATAGACTCAAGTTTGACCAAATTGTAAGTTTTGTTACCCTTCTTACAATCAATTTTGCTTCTAAGTAAATGTATTGTTTAAAGGATATGTTTACTGAACAATGAGAGAATGCTGAGATGCAAATATACTAGTAGATCTAACAACAATCTGTTTTTAGAAGAGGTGAATACTTGCAATGTGGTCTGATGCTCCTCATCCAGCCGCTGGTTCCTCAGAGAAACGAACTGTGGTGATCATGAGTTTAAACCCCTGAGCTGATCCTCCCTCTTCTGATGAACAGCTCCTGGTAAATCATCTGTATATTCATTTGCATTCATTTTTGTCGCATCAAAACACACAGGCAATATGATCTGTCAACACATAATCTTAATTATATGATATTTTGGCTATGGGGAAGTGCGTTACAGACAAGCCCACATTACTTCCATTGATGTCAATGCTGTCAGAACACAACAACCTATTTGAAGATTTGTATCACTCATCCAAGATGCCAATGATTAATTTGTCGTGTGTTTTGCATGATAAAACGATCATGTACTGGACAGGCAACATGACATCATGACTTTGCGTAAACATACACGCCACTTTCAAGTCAAGTGGCGTGTTATCTATACGCATTTTGAGCTATCCGCGTGTATGTCCACGGCGAAATCTTTTGCGTGTATGTCTACGCCATTAAATGTCCGAGTGATTCCGCGTGTATGTGTACGCCGTTAAATGTCCGAGTGATTCCGCGTGTATGTGTACGCCGTTAAATGTCCGAGCGAAACGAAGCAAAATCTATATCTACATCTGTGGAGCGATATTTCTTTTCCTAGGATGGTAGGAGAAGACTCATAAATGGTATTAACCCCAGTGACGGGTAGGTTTAGGGACGGGGTTGGGGTAGGTCATATATCTATATATACATAATACAGTAATATAACGTTAAGTCAAAGGCGTTGATAAACACGCTGAAAAGCGATTATGCGTGTTGATAGCACGCCAAAAATGGAAATACGAATTGGCGTGTCGGGTCGAGGAGCAATTATCATACAAGCTCATCATACAGTTTTACAAGCACTGTGTCAAGAGAAATAAATAGTGCTGTCCAGATCGATACACTATCTCCTAAACTATATTCAAGATCAGAATTAGTGCATCCAAAACATGCCAGCGTTGCTTGTTATTTCTGGTGGATTTTAAAGTGTGCATCGCCTTTTCCTTTTAGGTTAAAATAAAGCATGACGCCAAGGTCATCACTACTGTAAAAATAATGATATGATCAATAAGTCATGCACTGTAAACCCTAACGCTCAAAATACTTAATTGGTTTGAGTAGGAAAAACTTAAATTAAACTAATTAGTTCAGTCAAATTAACTTTTATGAGTATTTAGCACTTTCTTTTTCTTTCAAGTTCACAGAATGGATATATTTTAAGTAAACTGAACTGTTTCATTGTTTTGAGTTGTATGAAATTATTTCTTTTAATTTAGACGAACTTAAGTTTAACTGAAACGGCTGGGATGTATATTTCCCAGCATGCTTTGCCGATGGCACTCGAAAGGGAGAGTAAATGCTAAAATTAAGTGTAATACAATTTTTTTTTTGTGCAAGATTAATGTTAAGCGGGTGATTTAGTAATGATTAATGTTTCGTTATGCTAATTTAGAAGAATTTCTGTTAATGTTGGTTTTAGGATAGTTACCATCATGGTGACAAGTGGTGCATGAGCTTGATTTGAGAGCAAATAAAACCTTTATATTACTGCAAGTGTTACTGTATAGATTATTATTGTTAAGATATTAACAAAATAGTATGTTAGCAAACTAGCTTGTTAAAGCTAGCTAAGTTTATACTAATAAAAGTGTTCACATTGAGATTACATGAAATTTTAAGTTAAATGTATGAATTAGTGTACTCAAACATTTCAAGTTAAGAACAATTCAAATGTACAAATACAAAATAAAAATATGTCAGTTCTGCTTACTTAAACTTTGAATTTCTTAACTTAAAAAATTTGAGGCAACTGATTGCCTTTTTAAGTTATATGAGATTCAAATATATATTCTAAGGTCCAGCAGAACCATCCACAATGTGCAGACCATCCAATCATAGAGCACACAGATCAACCCTTACCATAGATGGCATATTAAGAAATATAATAATAAGTGAGGCCAAAAGTTCAAATGTATGTGTGAGTCTTGAGCATAACAGAAAGAGTTACTCAAGAGTAGTCTTACACAAGATTCATCAGAAGTGGAGCCTAAGAAATTAGGAAATATTAACAGCAACTGAATGTAAGTTTTTACTTACAGCATATAAACTATTTCTGCTATCAAATGGCATTAATACTCTATAAATTTTTTTTTTTTTTTTTAAGGTGTAAATAGTTTTACAAGGAAATACTATTTCAGTCTTTCTACAGTACTTTAATTCGATATGTCCATCCATCCATCTTCTTCCATCCATCTTCTTCCGCTTATCCCGGGTCGGGGGGGCAGCAGTTTAAGCAGAGACGCCCAGACCTCCCTCTCCCCAGACACTTCCTCCAGCTCTTCCGGGGGGACACGAGGCGTTCCCAGGCCAGCCGGGAGACATAATCCCTCCAGCGTGTCCTAGGTCTTCCCCGGGGTCTCCTCCCGGTGGGACACCTTCCCGGGACAGATGCCCGAGCCACCTCAGCTGGCCCCTCTCGATGCGGAGGAGAGTGTCTGGGGAGATGTTTATCCGGAGGTTTACCACAGTCCGCCGGATCCAGGCCGTATCCAGATCTGATGAAGGACGCGACGACAACGCAGTCCTGAAGTGTCACTGGTCCCTACCCGTGAAGGCCTCCTTCTCTTTACCTCTGTACAGATAATCGTTGTCGGGATAATTCCGGTTACACCAAAGCGATACAATTCTGTATTATAAATTTTAAGGCCAGACAAGTAGTTTGTTAAGGGTTGTTTTTTTTAGGGAAGGACTACATGCCTGCGCACATATATTCAAACGCGTATACCTATAGAATGAACTCTTAATACGCGTGTGCGCCATCAGCGTTCTTAAAGGTTCGCGTTTTTAAAGTTTGCGTAGAGTGAACTTAAGAGTTTTCTGTTTGAACGGTGTCGTGTTAGCGGCCCCTAAGTTAATAATGATCGTTGCGACGGAAGTGAATCAATCAAAACTAACTTTAGCTGGAGAATAACTTTATCCCAGAGCTGCTGTAAAGCCTAAACAATCTGTTACTTTAATCTCCTATTATCACTGTAAAGTTGCTTTGGAACAATCCACATTGTTAAAAGCGCTACATTAATGAAGGTGACTTGACTTGAGGAGCAGTGGCTCTACACTGAGCTCCTCCCGAGTGACCGAGCTTCTCACCCTATCTCTAAGGGATCGTTTCGGCCGCCTGTATCCGGGATCTTGTCCTTTTGGTCATGACCATATAGGTGAGAGTAGGAACGTAGATTGACCGGTAAATCGAGAGCTTCGCCTTGCAGCTCAGCTCCTTCTTCTCCACGACAGACCGGTACATCAACGTGTTACTGCAGAAGCTGCACTGACCCGTCTGTCGATCCGCCTTCCCTCACTCGTGAACAAGACCCCAAGATACTTGAACCCGTTTTCGTCAGGTGTAAGATTAGTGCAAACTCTAAGGCCCCGTCCACACTACTGCGTTTTCGTTTAAAAACGGAGACCTTTTGCTACGTTTGCACCTCCCGTCAACACTAAAACGGCTAAAACGGAGACCCAAAACGGAGAAGTTTAGAAACGCTGCCGATCCGTTTTTCGTTTTGAATCTCCGGAGGGCGTTTTAGTGTAGACGGGTCAAAACGGAGGACTTTAGAAACGATGACGTAGTAGCGGCTCACGCTCGGCTCTATGATTGGGTGTCATCAGTCGTGGCGTATATCTTTGCTAGCAGCTGTTGTACAAGTAAATTCTGCATTTTACAACGCTATAACTGCCTACATGCGCCGGAGTCAAGCTATTATTCGAGCGATCTGTGACATTTCCCATGTGCAGCGGCGGCGTTGACCGTACATGGAGCGTCGGTTTGGGGTTAACCCAGAGCATGGTGGGATAATTTTATCAATGAAGTTGTGTTTACACCAGCACGCACATGCCCAGTGTTGGTGAATGGTCACGTGATCCGCGTTTTCAGTCGTTTTAATGTGGACGGAGATCAATTCTAATACGCAGCTAAAACGCTGGTGTGGACGGAGATCGTATTCATTTTAATTATCCGTTTCTAAACTAAAACGCAGTAGTGTGGATGGGGCCTAAAGCAGAGGTGCCCAACCCTGCTCCTGCCGATCTACTGTCCGGCACAGTTCATCTCCAACCCTAATCAAACACACCTGCCTTTAATTTTCAAGTGATCCTGAAGACCTTAATTGGTTGCTTCAGGTGTGTTTGATTAGGGTTGGAGATAAACTGAGCAGGACAGGGTTGGGCACCTCTGCTCTAAAGCAAGCGCAACTCGGATGAGAAGAAGCACCGGACTTGAGACCCCCGAAGTCAGTTCCTCCCGGACCACCGGGCTTGAGACCCCCGAAGTCAGTTCCTCTCGGACCACTGGACCTGGGACCCCCGAAGTCAGGTCCTCCCGGACCACCGGACTCAAGACCCCCGAAGTCGGTTCCTCCCGGACCACCGGACCTGGGACCCCCGAAATCGGGTCCTCCCGGACCACCGGACTCGAGACCCCCGAAGTCAGTTCCTCCCGGACCACCGGGCTTGAGACCCCCGAAGTCAGTTCCTCCCGGACCACCGGACCTGGGACCCCCGAAGTCAGGTCCTCCCGGACCACCGGACTCGAGACCCCCGAAGTCGGTTCCTCCCGGACCACCGGACCTGGGACCCCCGAAATCGGGTCCTCCCGGACCACCGGACTCGAGACCCCCGAAGTCAGTTCCTCCCGGACCACCGGGCTTGAGACCCCGAAGTCAGTTCCTCCCGGACCACCGGACCTGGGACCCCCGAAGTCAGGTCCTCCCGGACCACCGGACTTGAGACCCCCGAAGTCAGTTCCTCCCGGACCACCGGGCTTGAGACCCCCGAAGTCAGTTCCTCTCGGACCACTGGACCTGGGACCCCCGAAGTCAGGTCCTCCCGGACCACCGGACTCGAGACCCCCGAAGTCGGTTCCTCCCGGACCACCGGACCTGGGACCCCCGAAGTCAGGTCCTCCCGGACCACCGGACTTGAGACCCCCGAAGTCAGTTCCTCCCGGACCACCGGACCTGGGAGCACCGAAGTCAGGTCCTCCCGGGCCACCGGACTCGAGACCCCCGAAGTCAGTTCCTCCCGGATC